AAATAATAAACCAAATACTGATGTATCTGAACCAATGCTGAATAAACTAAACTAATAAATTATATAAAATATATTTTGATATAATAAAAAGTCAACTATATTGTAATATATTGGAAAAAAACTTGCTATAAAGAAATAAAATAAATAAATATTTTGGTCCATAGCAACATAGCAAGACATTTTATCAAGTCTTGATATTTGTCCCTGCTGAGTACCAATGCATCTTTTTTTTCTCTTTCTTTCTTTCTTTATTTCTTTCTCCTGAGTGCATGGTCCTAGGATTGTATATATTATACTAATACTAGTATCCAGATCTTGATCTTAAAAAAAATGAGCAATGTAATTAATAACTTAAGCAGAGCATTCTGTTTGTTAAGCTAAGCTAGTGATCGTGGTTTAATCCTAATGTAGATTATTGCAGGCAGGTTGTCTCCCAGTTATAGGCAGCTTGCTCCACGACTCTTGTGTCTAAACTGGGTTGGGAACTCTTGTTACTCTGCATAGGATAAAATGGGACACATTAAACTGCTGGGCTTTATGCTCACTGATGCTGTCAGCTACTTCTGATAACTGAACAGACTAAATAAGGGACTGTTACTTTTAGATTGTTTTTAGCAAAGAAATGTTGGTTTCTCTAGTGGTTCATACCTGCAGAAAAGGGAGCCAGCTTGGTCTTTTTTCCCTGTTATACAGCTTACCCTCTTAAGGAGACAGCTTCAGAAAGAAACGAGAATTGTGATGGAATATTTCCGTCATGTGCCCTATACTATGGTTACATTTTAAGATGTTACTAGTGTAACTAACATGAGTCTACAATAGAATTCAGGGCTATCTATTACATGTCACTAGTGAATTTAAACATCTAAATTAAAGGACCACTATAGGCACCCAGACCATTTCAGCTAAATTAAGTGATCTTTGTGCCAAGTCCATCTAGGGTTAACCCTGCAGCTGTGAACATAGCAGTTTCAGAGAGACTTTTATGTTTACTCTAGGGTTAATCCAGCCTCTAGTGGCTGTCTCATTAAAAGTGGCTAGAGACGCTTCCACGCTTCTCACTGTGAAAATCACAGTGAGAAGACCCTGACGTCCATAGGAAAGCATTGAGAAATGCTTTCCTATGAACTAATTGAATGCGCGTGTGGCTCTTGCTGCGCATGCACATTCGGCACTGACGCCGAAGAGGGAGAAAGTTAAGTGTTTAACCCCTTCAGCCCCCATTCAGCCCAGCAGGAGGGGGGCCATGAGGATGGGGGAGACAAGTTTGTTTTCCTGGCACTATAGTGGTCCTTTAAGTAAGACATTGAGTGGATATTGCTAATTGTATTTATCCAAGCACAGCTTTAACAGAACATATATGAACTTCTTCTGAAGTAGACAATTCATTTGATGGTGCTTAAGGGGCATCAATTTAATGCCTTTTGTTATTTTTAGGATTGTGATATACTAACCTCTAGCAATTAATAGGGAGTGCAGTCTGTTTGATCACTTGATCACTTGTTGAAAATGATCTCAAAGTTTTTCTGTACATAGTTTATTTATTTTTTTGTTATACTAAAAGGTTTGTCACTTTTTATTCCTTTCTCACTTTGGGAAGGAGGAAATTGAATTTAAGATTAATCAGTAAATCAATATTAATGTAATCCAGTGGTTCCTAAAACAGTCCTCATGGCCCATTAACAGTTCAGGATTTTTGTATTTCCCTGTCTTGTTCCAATGGAGATACCGGCAAAACCGGGTCTGTTAGTGGGTCTTGAAGACTGGTCTAGGAAACACTGATATAGGTTTTTTTTTTATTATTAAGTATAATAGTACATTTTATATTAAGTATAGTAAATTTGAAATGTGTACAATCAATTTCAGCCGAATTGCTATTTGTATGAATAATGGGTAATTGGCTTGTCATCTCAATTTCATAACTCTAAGCCGTTGTATGATAAAATCACAAAACAGGCAAGATATGAGTCATTTTGCTTGTTTTGTGATATGTAGTCCAAGTGTAAATTGAATATATAAATAAATACGTAAGGGATCAGCCTGGCCAAATGTTTGAAATTTGCAATTAACTATAACAGAAAACGCAAAATTCAAATGTTGCCAAATGTGAAATCTATTCCAAACAGAAATTTGATAGGAGTTCTTTAAAAAACAAACAAAAAAAAAACCAGATTATGTGATACAAGAGCAAGTCATATGTCCAGTGGTATTATTGGAACAAATATACAAACAAATAAAAAGGTATAAAAATCTTCTATTATTCAAATATTTCCCCTCCTGCGGGTAATGTCATCTCATGGACCACAGTAAAGGATCTTCTACCTGGTCTGACAGAGCACTTTCCCCAGTACCTTAACTCTAAAAAGAGAAGAGAAAGAAAAACTAAAGAGGGAGAAACTTAAAAAGGGGGAAGAAATGGCGCAAAATGGGGATGGGGTGGGGTAAGAGAAATCCAAGGAGGGAATAAAAAGTATAGAAGAGGGGAAAGACACAAAAGGAGGAGGAAGTGAGACAAAAGAGAGAAAAGAAACAAAGAGGGTAAGAGATAAAAGGGTGATAGAGACCAAAAAGTGGAAATCTACTCAAAGTGGGGTAAAATATACTAAAGACGAGAGTTGAGCGAACCCGGACTCTAAAGTTCAGGTTCGTACCGAACATTATGGTTTTTGGACCCCGGACCCGAACACGGACATATCACTGTATGTTCAGGTTGGAGTTCGGTGTTCGGCGATTTAATGGCAAGTTTTCACAGGCTGCAGGGCAGCCAATCAACAAGCGTTTGATTTGTGTGCCCTTAGAAGCCATCACAGCCATGCCTACTAATGGCATGGCTGTGATTGGCCAGTGCAGCATGTAACCCAGCCTCTATATATAAGCTGGAGTTGTGTAGCACCGCATGCACATGAGCTCTTATTAGTGTAGGGAGAGGATGCTGCAGCTGTGAGGGAAGTCTTAGGAAAGAATTCTGCAAACTAGTACATTAGTGGGATGCACTTCATTTCTGAGAGTCAAATAGAAGCTTCAAATACCGCGGTTACATCAGAGTTTTAAAAAGTCAATTTTTTTGATGCTAAATAGTACATTAGTGGGATAGTACATTAGTGGGGTGCACTTCATATCTGAGAGTCAAATTGAATCGTCAAATACTGCTGTCACATTGCAGTTTTAAAACTTACATTTTTTGGGGTGATAAAAAGTACATTAGTGGGGTGCACTTCATGTCTGAGAGTCAAATAGAAGCATCTAATAGTGTGCTTACAGCGCAATGGTAAACATACTTATTTTCTGGGTGCTAGTCTGCTAAATAGTACATTTTGGGGCATGCATTTCATATCTGAGAGTCAAATAGAAGCGTCTAATAGTGCGCTTACAGTGCAGTGGCAAACATTCTAATTGTTTTTCTGCTAATCTGCTAAATAGTACATTTTGGGGCCTGCTCTTCATAACAAAGAGTCAAATAGAAGCATCTAATAGTGTGCTTACACCGCAGTTGTAAAAATTCTAATTTTCTAGGTGCTAATCTGCTAAATAGTACATTTTGGGGCGTGCACTTCATATCTGAGAGTCAAATAGAAGCGTGCTTACAGCGCAGTGGTAAACATTCTAATTGTTTTGCTGCTAATCTGCTAAATAGTACATTTGCTGCCTGCTGTGCACTTCATATCTGAGAGTAAAATAGAAGTGTCAAATAGTATGCTTACTGCGCAGTTGTAAACATTCTAATTGTTTTGCTGCTAATCTGCTGTTTACATTGGAGTTTTAAAAAGTAAATTTTTTGGGGGTGCTAAATAGTATATTTGGGGTGTGCACTTCATATCTGAGAGTCAAATCGAAGCGTAACTTTGATTCTAATTTACATCGGTCACTTGTAATATTGTTTCACACCTACAACACTTGTTACACAGATCTAAGTGATACAAAACAGATTGATATTTTCTACACTAGAAACTACCAGATAACAAGCTGCTATATTTAAACCAGTTATCAATAGCTAAGAGGTACTTAAACAATATTGTAATTCTGGGGCAATACCCTCACAAGTCAAACTGAGAGGTCAGTTTATATGGGAAACTGTTGCCTGGAGGAAATTCTAAAACAGTTTCCATATGTCGTTTCCATATAGGTGCCAACTGCTGTGGCTTTCTGCAGTGTGCATACCAGCAAGGAGGGCAGGGTTGAGGAGTGGGTGGAAGATGATGTGGAGGATGATGAGGTCCTAGACCCCATATGGAATCAAGGTCATGCGGGTGACGTGTGCAGTTTGGAGAAAGAGGCACTGGTCACACAGAGGTAACAGCACAGCATAAGAGGGAGCAGGGTGCAAACTCAGAGCGGCCGTCTCCTAGCGCTCGCCGGCATGTATTAGCTCGAGAATTACCAGTTATCCAAGTAATACATGTAGCGATCAAAGGATCCATAATAGAGTTGAGCAAACCCGAACTGCAAATTTCGGGTTCGAACCAGATTTAATGATCCATTCGTAGTTTCACAGTCAGGTGGGCAGTCCGGTGACCAGGACCCAGACACTGTCTGGGCGGCGGTCAGACAACCGGGACCCAGTATGCCTGATGTTGAAGTCAGGAGTCACAGTGTGGAATGGATTAGCAGGGTCTGGTGCAGGGTAACCGCATGCCCCCTGGTGTTGCGCACCAGCGTTTGTGCGGCCACATACCAGGACCCTGATGCAGCTTCAGTAAAAAGAGTACTGGATACCAGAAGCCATCACCAGACTGATCTGCAACTTGGAACAGGATGTGACATTCACTGTAGCGGCTGTGCGCGTTCTCATCCTGCTGCTGCTCACCTGTCTTCGCTGCAGCGTAACTTCGACCTTCCCGCTCACCGCCTCATGAGACTGTGTGAACAGCAGCAGGCGATAGTGGAGTTACAGCTGCAGCACGCACGGGTCAGTGGCTCTGCACCAGACTTCCCTCCAATTGATTAGAGTTAAACGATTTCAAGTGGACTCATTACAATTAAAGAGTCCTGTATTGTTATTTGTCGTCACTACCTTCCCGCGTCGGGAGTGGGTCATTTGCGCGCCTGCTGCCTTCCTTGCATGTGGTAGCCATTTCTCAGGGTCCCTCTACGGAATGGAACCCTGATTCCCCATTACCTGTGGTCACCATGGTAGGCGCAGAAACTGGCATCGAAAGTTGATAAGGATTACATCCGAATGCAAAGTCGCTGTCACGGGGATGTGCAATTGGCCCGAGGTTCTCTAGAGTCAACAAAGTGCCTGCGCAACTATTATATCAACAGCTACTCTGCGGAACAGAGTTGTCTTTTTTTTATATGTCCCAATATTTTGGGGGCTACCACAATAAAAAAAAAATATATATATATATATATATATATATATATATTAAAAACAGTGTTGGCTACCTCCTCCTCCACCGCTGCTTCCACCTAAACCACCACGGTCACCGCCTCCTCAACCTATGGTTCACTTAGTATAAACTATGTACACATTAGCAGAGGCTTGTGAAGGCCTTTTCTCCATGCATCAGGAGTTGAGCATTTCTCCATGCATCAGGACTGCAAGAAATACACCGCAGGCTGCAAATGTTTCTTTTTTTGTATGTCCCAATATTTTGGGGGCTACCCCAATTAAAATATATATATATATATATATATATATATATATATATAACAGTGTTGGCTACCTCCTCCTCCTCCACCGCTGCTTCCACCTACACCGCCACAGTCACCGCCTCCTCAACCTATGGGTTACTTAGTATAAACTATGTACACAATAGCAGAGGCTTGTGAAGGTCTTTTCTCCATGCATCAGAAGTTGAGCTCAGTTTGAACAATGAAAGAGAATACCCTGCACTCCAACCCTCTCTCAAATGGATAATTCTGTTGATCCTCCTGACAGCCATGCTTTAAATTTTGATTTATGTTCTTCCAAAGCTAAAATCAAAGATTACATCTAATGCTATTTTATTGCTCAGCTGTTTTTTAAATTTTTAGGTATTTTATGTTATTTTAAGTGAATTCCCTATGCACATTTCTTTTCAGGACACTTGTCCTACTCTTACCTCCATTTTACTTCCTTTTGCAGCTCTCTAGCCCTTTCCAGGAGTTTTTTACAGGCATTTTTGTGGCCAAAAGTTTGGGTCCCCATTGACTTCAATGGAGTTCGGGGTCAAGTTCGGGGTCAAGTTCGAGCCTGAACCCTAACTTTTTTTCAAAGTTCGGCCGAACTCAACTCTACTAAAGACGAATAAGAGATTCAAAAGTGTGAATAAGAAATACAAAAGGAGTAAGAGACACAAAAGTTGGAATAAAATGGACAATTAAGGGATATAATAACTAAAAGAGAGCAAAGAAATATAAAATGGATTAAGGATGGGGCAAGATGGGCAGAGATGCATTTTGGGGATAGCAAAATGCATGTCTAACTATGCAGCTGAAAATTAAATAAATAGAATGAAAATAAAACCTCCTATATATGATTAAATCAGATAATGTTTTGGAGTTATTCCGTGTATACATATCTATCTGTCTATCTATTACATGGGTAATGCACAATTACAGTATGTAATTATTATTTTTATTATTATTATTAGTAGTAGTAGTAGCGATAGATAGTGATAACATATTCCATAGTATTTTACAATTGTAGTAACAAGCTTACAATCCATGAGGTTTTAAGGTAGGTGGATATATATAAAATTAAATCCCTTGTGTCCTTGTGCCCGAGAGCACAATAATAATAAATATCTTGATAAACATGTTACCTAGGAACCCATTATTTTTTTCAATCTAATGATAAATATTTAGACAAAACATTATAATTTAGAACATTTGCCAGTTATGCCCTGAGTGCTCCTTTAACAACTAGGACTGCCTTCGCTTTCCAGATCCTTTCTATGTACTCGTTCAGCCCTCCTTCTCATGTTCCTCCTTCTTGATGTTATGGTCACTTGGGGGCACGAGGACTCCCACATTTTTCTGAGCTGCCTAGTGCACTGACAGAAGTGAATTGTCATGCGGCTGCCTCGCACTAAGAGCGCAACTGGCATCACAAGTGCGCTCTTAAAGGGGCAGCGGAAGCCACAAGTTAGTTAAGGCTATACACACACATTTTGAGGGCGTAGGCATGACATGGCATCACTTTGCCCTATCATGATTTCTGTTTTAGTACCCTTTAGTGCGTTCCTGGATCTATGGTGTTTATTCTGGTATTGACCTTCGCTTTGTTCTTGACTCTGAGATTATCTTTAACCCTTTCCTGTCTTGTTTGCCTGCCTGGTACCGTGTGCCTGACTGGCTAGTTCTTGTTTTCGCTGTCTCTCCATTACCTCAGCTCGTGTCTGACTATGCTTTTCCTCCCTCTATCGTTTAGTCAGGCCATTCTAAGGTCAGGTAACATGTTATATACCAGATAATATATTATCGAATTGTACAGTATAACCTAATAACTGTTATATAACAGATTATTTTTAAGACATCAAACATTTAAATATACTCATGGTGCTTAAGGGGATTCTATAGTGCAAGGAATACAAAGTTTCTATGTTTCATCTGGTCCCACCCTCCCTCGTGCCCCACCCCAGGATGGAAAGGGTTAAAAGACCCTTTCTTTACTCACTCCATTCCAACACAAATCTCCCTCGGTATTAGAATGGTGATCCACTCATCTGACTTCATCTGATGGGGAGTTAAAGCTCATGGACGTCCAGAGTCAGTTAGGAGACCTAAGTCGGTTAGCCACCAAGAAGTGACTCTGATAGCTGTCTGATAGAGGCAATTTTAGTCCTGAAATTTAATTATTGGAGTTTCTCTAAAACTGCAATGATTTACATTGCAGGACTAAGAGGGACAGTGACGCTGCACCTAGACCACTTTAATAAGTTGAAGTGGTCTGGGTGCCTATAGTGTCCCTTTAAGAAATGTAATGAGCACACAACAGATCATATTAAGAAATACATGCACTGCTTTTACAGAATAAGTATGCACAACCAAAACATATCTAACTTGTTAAAAAAAAAAAACACTTATCAAAAATGTGCTTTTAGCATGTCTTTCTATATTCTATAGAACAAAACTGAATATGAAGTTTACAGTTTTCATTCTCCTTCTTTTCAGAACTTTGTTAAACCTAAGCAATTTAACAAGAACAAAAATATAACAAACACTTTTTAAGACATGTAAATTCAGTACTTAGATTGGGAATTTTTACAATATAACTGTTCGTTTTACATGTGGGAGTAGGGTTGTTGGTTCAGTCCAACAGAAATGAGGATTTGAAGTTATTTTCTGTTGATACTGGTTAAACTTGACAAAGCGAAAGTTGTTCATTTTCACATGTTTCTGTGTGAACTTAATTGTTTTTTGTTTTTTTTGTGTTAAAGATTTAATTGGTTAGTAGTGAGCTGTTTTCTGTAGTAGACACATTCCTATAAATATAGCTTGCTGAATGTGAGATGCTTTACTTAGCAAAACAAAGTTTAGGGTAAAAATATAAATGACACATACTGTTGTCCTCTGCTAACAAGTATGCATGCACGGCAGCACTGAACTTGATGAGCTTGGGCTGTTGTCTTAAGTTGTTCGGTAATGTTAATCATAGCATTCCTTCTTTATTTAACAGAATAAATAATTTCATGATTTTTTTTAATGATTCGTTTTTCACAGTTTATCCTATTTAACGTCTGTCTGACTTAGATGCTTGAGTTCATCTACCAGTATGAAACTTTACCTACACCAAAGAGTGCAAAGGAGTCTGGTCTCTCCCAAAGGCCAGTACAATGTGCAAACTAGAAAGCAATATCCAACATATCCTTCATTTCTCTGAGACCCTTTAAATTAAAGAGCACCACATGTACGGTGGGTATGGTTGAGTATTGGTTATTTCTGGATAGATGCTTCAAGTTGATGCACATTGTTGTTTTTAGTTGGCTGTGTAAGTTGGTACTCTAGAAAGCGTACAATATAAAATAACAAACAGCAAAGATATGCAACAGCTTTGCTATTGCTACATTCCTTGATATTGTATGGAAACAATTAAAAATAACTTTGCAGAGGTGTCCGAGCAACTATTACATAAAACAAGTGAATTTGCTCACAAATAAATCCAAATTTGCAAATGTCACTTCTTAGTCCAGTTTACTAATGGATTGCTGCAATTTGGAACTATATTGTATTATTTATATCTGATGTTTGATAAAGATACCTTTTACCTCAAATAATGTAGCAAGCATATATGAATACACTTGGTTGGATTCTATTAGCTATGTTGTATTTACTTTGTTGCTGAATAGCAATTTCCCCATGCTCAATCCCATTGATATAATGTAAAAAAATGAATGTGTCATGCTTTTTAATGCAATAATAGCTTGTCTGGTTGGATTTTCTTGGATTTGCGTCCCATCCTTGGTAGAGTGAGACTGAGCCACAATAGTTCTTTAGTTATAGGCACTATTAAAAGAAAAAAAACAAAAAAACTTTTGCGTGGGATTTTGGCATATTCGGATCCCCAAGTAATATGAAACATCCTTCTTTCAATGATATACACATTGTGCATTTTTGTATTTTTTTTTTTATTAAATTTTTAAACAATGTCATCTTTATGTAGAAACATATAGTTACTAAATATCTTCCAGTCAGTAAACTTGAATTATGACACATAAAGCTCATTTGAAATTAGGTTGATAACTCTAAAAAATATCCATAGTGTTACCATTAAATTGGGGATTATTGTTAAGTGAGTAGGAGATTGTAAAATGTAATAATAAAGCGCACTTTGAGAATATTTCAGTTTGGAAATTCTAGCTTAAAATGAGCAATTCCATAAGCATTTTGCAAAAATTGTCAATTTTGTGAATAAACTTATTTCACTAGTTCGTCAATTTGGTGGAATTAAGGACAAATTGCAAAATGTAGCTTAATATGTTAAGGCTGTTCCTATAACCCAGGGGTTCCCAACCCAATCCTTAAGTACCCCCTACCAGTCCAGGATTTAGGAACTACCCAGTTGTGTCTAAAAAAATTATTTTCTAAAAACACTTTAGACACAACTGGGTAATCCCTAAATCATGGACTTGTAGGGGGTAATTGAGACTGGGTTCAGAACCAGGCTATAACTGAATCAGATAATTAATCAATTAGCTATCTTTGCCTACATTACTTAGTTCATTACTCTTGACTGTTTAGCAAATAAATCCCTATGTCTACATACATTAATTTGTTCATGTCTGCCTATTTTTTGTTTACAATAGATTGTAACCTCATAGGATAGTTACCTCTACACCATTAGAATCAGTGTACATTCATTTATTCGTCATTTACTGTAACGGATTACTGTAATTCATTACAGAATATACTGATGTTGTATAAATCACAAAATTTATATTATTACTAATCTTTTAAGATTCTTCTCT